GGAAGAAGTTACATTTTCCTGTCAAAAATTTGGTAATATTTTTATGAATGAGCGATTTCCAGGTAAATGGTGGAGACTTTCAAACAATCTTGGCTATTGTTTGAATGCTATTGTTCAGTAAGATCTTTGCTCAATATTTAAAACAATCCACCTACGAACAAAGCAAGTGATATGGCAACACTTTCCACCCCCACCCCTCTTCAACTCTTCATTGACCTTGCTTTTAATAATACCGTACTTTTTTGCCGTACTTTAATTATTCGAATTTTCCATCGATAGGGGCAAAAGTTTCTACCAATATCGCTTTCTTCATCCACTTACTCCTCCCCCCCCCCAACATCTGAGAAGTACCATTAAGGTACAATCAATGCCAAGCCCACTGATATCTTAAGCTCTTAAATATTTACATAATCAAATATTAACTATAGCTCTCGTTCAAATACGCATAATTATGGTAATAATTGACTTTCATTTTGTGTCGATATATTTAAGGAAATAAAAACTTGCACCAGGATATATATATATATATATATGCCTGTAAATATGCTATCTTTTAAATAGTTATTTTGCAAAACAAAATAAAATGATAAAATGAACTTTGAAAAGAAAAGACTATTTTCACTGTCTGAGATATAGTCACATTCTTAGTGAACTTGTTAGTAAACATCGAACATTGTGGGCAAGACGGCTTTATTATCAGGTGTGAAATCATAAAACGTAAATTCTGAGTCTTAACTTAGCCATCTAGAAAAATGTTGCACAGACCAAATCTGAAAGCCAACTATGAAAACGCTTTTGTAATACTTGACTTGAACAGGGGAGGGGGGAGTATTGGGAAGCCACGCTTATGAGGAATGCCTATTCCTCAACTTCCTTTTTTCACCAGAATTAGCCAGGGCTGGTGGTCACCAACACCACTGAATGAACACAGGTGGGCATAGATTTTGTGACCTTTGCCTATAGCTGATGAGAACGTTGATAGCACCACCACCACCACCACCGGGCGTATTTACTTCCTAATTAACCTCTTTGTAGTCTATTTAATACCTTCCGATATAATTCCCTTTGTCGTAAAGGGAAAGGTGTCGCTTTTAGCTGTGTCAAAGGTTATAATGATAGATTAGTGTCCCCTTGAAAGTCATTTTAAATAGACAAAATGCTTCTCTGAACTAAAACGGCATCTGAATTTGGAACTGAAAAGTGGGTTTGATAAATGAAATGATTCTGGGCACAGTTTATTTATTTCTATATTCTTTTTTGCTATTGCCTTTCACCTCATATAAATATCAAAGCATTAACAAAGATAAGCTTATTATTAACCACTATTTGTACTTCCCTACTGTACTTAAGTTGCTGAAAGTTTTGAATAGACTTCACTTCACCTATGTTCTTTAATTTAGTAGTTTAAAAGTTCCTTGTGTACCACAATAGTGCTAATAAGTTACGAATCCTTAATCACAAATCTCGACAATAGATAGTTTATAACTATAAACTCACCAATAGTCATGAAAGTTTTGAGTTGGGTCAAGGCCGGCCTCGTAGGGTATACAAGTGATCATTGGAGCGTCCCGATCACTCGGGTGACCAATACTTTATCACTCCATGGATTATGTAAGCCGAGAAATCTCCATAGGGACTAAAACTTTAATGGCAAATATTGATAGGGAATTCGGGTTATAACTTATGGACGTATATCGATGAAGATCTAAAGCGATCATCTCTCACAATGGATAACCACGCGATTAATAAAGGAGATACTTTGCCTATATTACCTCTCTGCCGAAAACTAAAGGGCTTGTTCACAGTTTTATTAAAATTATATAGGGAAATGCAGCCGTTTTATAAGGCCAAAGATTTTATCAATTGTAGCTTCAACTAAGTTAATAGTAAAAATCCAACCGTAAGTTTATAAATGATAAGTAATAGTAAATTTTCACCCACTTGAAAATCGTGCCCTCTAGAAAGTCTTCGCTTAGTTGCTGAAGAAGGCCCTATATCTGCAAAAATAAATGTTTAATTATAGAAATTGCAATGAATATTAAACAAATATTCAAATGGAAGGGAGATAGAAGCAAGATGGTGAAGTTTGCAAAGATTTTAATTAGTTTCATTTCCCAATGCCGACCTAAACTAAGGGAAAATTGCCCGCGTGGATAAGACGTGGCATTAAATCTTTACAGATGAAGGCGCTGGTCGTTCAAACACCACAAACACAAAAATGATCCACCCACATAAACTACATGCAAAATTAGCTTTAAGAAATAGTTTTGAATCTTAACTCATAGGTATTCACATATAGACAAAAAATGACGGAGGAAATGGACAAATTTGAACAAATTTCAAATTAAAATATTAGTTGATCCAGGAGACAGGGTTCTCTTGCACCATTGTCTTTATAAGCATAGATATTTAAACTCCGTGCCTGTTTGAATGCTTCAACAATATCACGGATTCCAAAGCATTTTTCCGCTGCAACAGAGAAATTAATTAATAATTCGTAGGAGGCAGGTATAGGCTGTCGCACTATAACCTTACCCTTAATGTCATGTAATTAAGATAAATGCTAGTCCTCATTCAAAAAAACGATTCAAGGTCAAAATGTCCAAATGATTAAGCTCATATCGATTATGCATTACTGAATAACTCATTGGAAGTTGTTCCTAATGGCAATAAATATTGATTACTTATATTTATAAGTAACTCGACTCTTACCACTTTGTCTACAAAATGTAAATTTGAAATTTGATCGGCCGTTCCAATTACTATTTCAGCAGATAAGCTCTGAGCACTTCGATCAAGACTTCAGGACCAGATAATGAACGCAGTATTTTGTAACTTGAAGCAAGAACCTAAAAGCAAAAAAAAATTAACTGGAATACTTGTTTTTTGTTACCAACGTCTTTTCGCTCCACTCCACTTCAAAACACTTTTGATCTATTTGCTGGTATTAAATTCCCGATTTAAAAATTTGTTTGCCATGTCCATGGAGTGAATTCTAGTGGTAGAGAGATATTCGGAGGCAACCTAAAGTGGAATTAAACCTCCCCTTTGTAAACAGTGCCATGCACTGTTAAATAAACTATAAACGGTAACTGAAATTTCCTTTTTAACTTTTTGTCTTGAACTTTAATTCAATAAAATATTTAATTTTTATTTAATTTTTTTACCAATTCGCACAATTACAGTAATAAACAACTCGGATTTAATTATTTCAAAGATAAATTAATACGACTTGAGAAACTAATTGTGACGTACATCGCGTTCTTGAAAACAGAAATTGGCCTAATGGAGTGGCTAAGCAGGTATATTTATAATATAATCTTTCACGAAAGAATAAACCCTCCCCCCATAGATAATGCCAAAATTTCCCTCGTCGATGGGAAACATTTCGATTAATACATCAAAACATAGGTATAAAAAGGAGCCAAATATTTTAGCTGAGGCTTCAGTGTTGGTATTCATTGGCTTATCACCTGATATATTGAAATGCGTGCTCAATTAATTTCTTTACAAAATATTATGTTAGATTAAAATGAGTACTGATTAAAAAATCCGTCCAGATCCTAAGACGTTTGATCTGCCAATACGAATGTTTTCGGCGAACCTGAGTAGAGCTCACAAATCCAGCTTTCGTGAGCTGGTTCGTTGATTATCGATTTATGCAGTTGATTGGACAGGGATAACATTACGACAACACTGAAGTGCTCTTTGATTGCGCAATTAATAAATCTTGGCTTATAGTCATCTGTATGAACAGCCACCTTCCAAGAAGTTTTGACCAAGCTATTTTCGAATGTAACTCTACATATAATATTTATTTGGAAAATATTGGGAAAGCCGATAAGAGAAGATTGTCCGCTTTCTCATATGGCAATTTCACGTTCAACTTTAAAAATCACTATTTATTCAAAAATTATAATTGGCATTTGAAAAATTAGAAGTATAAGATTGGAGTGTATTTTTAGATTGAGTGTGAAATTTAAAGGGAATTTAGAATACGAAATTAATTATTGAATGATAATGAAAAAGCCAACCCTTCGAACCTTTGAGTGCAAGCATTTGTTGACATATTGTGAACTAGAGCGGTTTTTCAGTCATATATTCGAAGAGCTAATTTGTCCGATTTTAGGAGGTGAAAAGAGGAAATATTTTGGAGAAAGAGTGTGGAACTTTGGATTCGGAAAATTCCATATTCAACTCTGACACCTGTTGTTCATTTCACTCGACCCTTTCAAGACTTACTCACCATATTCTCTGTAAATATTAGGAATAAAATTCAATATACAATTTTCCCGTCATCCTTACCTAGACAATAGAAAAACCATGCTTCAATTATAACAAACATCCCTACATAGTAGCTTCGAGCTTCACTGTTTTCTATCCATTACCTTTGAATAGGCAGTTAATGACAATTTGAGGACATGAGCTAACGTTGTTCACTCTATTATGCGTGAAATTAATGTTAAATTTCCTACTTCCTTGTCGTTTTGATCAATTCGTCTTCGTCAGAATTTTGTTTTAGCTTCAGTCTTAGCGCTCACTGGAATCTGGTTGGTGGGAATAAAAAACTGAAAAGACTTTTGTAATACAACTGAAGTCTCAGTCGAAAAAAAAACACTTTGAAGCGCGAAGTCAATTTAATATAATCGATTGCAGAGGGAACGCGCTAATTGCAAATGATGTATACTATGATTCATAAATAATTTCAGTGGATTCTGTTCATCCTTACATTACTTTTTATATTTTTTGCGACGTATCTATGTATTTACAGTTAAATCCAAAAATACGATCTATTTTCGCTGTTTCCTCTTCATTTCAAATACTTATTTTACACTAAATAAATAAAATAAAATTTGCAATTTATGGCATACGTATTTAGCACTGCCTATTTTGTTGTTTTATCGATTTTATTAAAGTAGATTTGTGCTCAAACTTAATAGCGCAAAATTTACCAAGGTTATTTGATAACTGTTACTCTTTCAAAGCCGCTGATGATAAAAATGGGAAAACGAAGTGTATATAGTTCATCGAGTTCCTCCACGACCACTGGGACTGATTCTGATCAAAGGAGTGAATCATGCACCGACACCTTTATGTCAGAATTAAACACTGTTTCGGAAGCATCCGATGAGACACCATCTATACCTACAAAGGTTAATAGGATCAAAGTGAAAAACTTTGTTGCCTTTACGCCCAATATTAACTTGTGCCTGCCAGAAGGCAAATTTGCAAATGGTAAGGTAGTTTCTGCTGCTAAGGCGCAAGAACTCCTATCGTCCGCAATGCCAACAGTGATGCAATCCATCGAACAATGCTTAAAACTTGCAAATAAATATTTTAAGTCCTCCGAGGCTTCCAATTGCTTCCAGGATATGTCGAAGAGTCACTCAAATGGAAATGTCTCGAAGGTTGGAAAGTCGGCCAATATGAAAACAAATTTAGTTAATGGTGTTAAGAAATGTCCAGATGCTAAACAAACCCATGTAGTTGCTTATATAAGACAGGATGGAGATGCACCAAAAGAAAAGGACAGTGTGTCTACTTCGAAATCCGAAGAATCTTCGAGGAATTTTCATAAGCTCAACGGTACTCACAATTTGGCCTCTCAGAGGGCCATGAAGAATGGAACGGCTGTTTCTAATTGCCTTATCTCTCGTGAAACTAATGCTGATGAGTTCGAACATGGTAATGGATGCAATACATTACCACTTATTGAACCAAGTGTAAAAAAACTTCCAACTGGAATTTCTCCGAAATCTATTGATTCGTTAAAGAATGGCGTTAATGGATTTGATGGAGTGAAACGCGAAGAGAATTCAAAAGGTATAAGTCGTCATGCAGCAAATATCAACAGATATTTGACCTACCTTCAAGATAAATATAGTACTCGCACTTGTCATCCGAATGAGCAAAATGGCGTTAAGCCTACTAGGTTTGAAAAGATTTCGCCAAAAACAGGAACAACTAATTCATTCATTCAGCCAATCAATCCACCTGTAAATGGTTTCAATGGAAAATCTGTTTCTCAACCGAAAGTCCAAGAAACCCAAAAAACTGCCTACCCAATACCCCCGAAATCATCGGCTCTTGGTGATAAAGCTGTTAATGGAATAAGTGGGAATTCGATTTCTCAAGATAAAGAAGTTAATGAATCGAGGTCTATTATTTGGACAACCATGGCACGAGAACTCTGGAGGCTTTTGTTTACGGAATTGGGTAGCTCAAATGCCCAAGAAATAGCTACGAACTTAGCAAGTAACAGCGCCAATGCAAATTGTTCCTGATTAGGGACGGCCCCAAATGAATCCTTTGAAGCTAATGAATTATTTCCTATAAGTTGTGATAAATTGGTATTTTAGAGCTTGATATAATAAAATTTACTATGTCTTAAAGTATTTTCGATAATATATATATATATAATTAGGTTTAGTGCTATTTGACTATTTAGGTTAGACTTGCTAATAGGTTATTTGTAGCCCGAATTTGAGGGACCGCTCAGTTCTATCCCAACTAAACAGAATGTCATCCCTGTTTCCATAGTTAGCTTAGTAAGCATATAATTTTTAGGGGCATGATGCATGGCACCTTGTTCACGCAAGGAACGTGTGACAAGCTGTGACGACAGTGGTTATTGGCTCGAATCAACTTGGTTGGTGTAATGCCGACGTCAGAACAACCCACCCCTCTCCCTCCTCAAAACAAAGCTTTCCTTAAAGAGCTTCGGGAATGCTTAAGCGAAGAACCTATTATCTGCCTATATTATTTTTAAACAAAAATTAACCGGCAAAGTTTGCAAACAATTTTTTCCATTTCTGGATGACAAGTTCTTCCTTTTTACAGAGGTAAATGAAGTTTTATTCGTTGTGCAAGCATGATAATCAAGCGCACAATATCAAATAATTGTTGATATTTTATCTACTTCCATGCAAATGCTTTCGAATTTATAAATTATTACCTAACAATAAAGAAAAACGCAAACCAGCATTCTCTAATTCGGAGAACCAAGTCGGGCGAAAATATTCGATTACTAGCAAACTGTTAATTTAAGGGTAGACGGGCTAATTCGTGTCTTCCTATTTTCGATAAAACAAAGCGGACTTCACACTTTATCCACTTATTTATTTTTTTACACCAACACTCAGATATTTTCCAAGTTTCTCTCTTTTTTCCAGAGTAATTAGCACTCTCTACTTTTTACGAATAATCTTAAAAATATAAACTGAGCAAAAGTCGGAATTGCAATCAAAGAAATTCATGATTTTCCTATCTTACTTGTTTATTTGATTTCGTAATAGCATTCAAGGATTAGCTTGAGATACTTTGAATAATCAGGCCCGTCTTAAACTGACGAAAGTGCGAAACCTATCCATTTTACCATATTAAGAAATTTTAACTTTAAGTATCAGATATACTAGATAGAGTCGATTAATTCAATTTAGTGGAGCATTCGGAGATATATATTGATCGCTACACACCATACTTTTCGTTCAAATTGAGTTTTATTACATGGGATTGGTGCTTCTTGAAACAATTTTGCTGCTAATGTCAATATTTTGTACATTTTACAGTCATATTCACTAACGTTTGGGCTTGATATTGACTAATAGATTTTCACAATTTCAAAACAATTTACTTATAATCTAGTAAATAACTTGGTTACTATATTTTGAATGAATTTAAACTGCATCACTGTAATGATATAATTCATGTAATTTACCTATCTTTGAGTGCAAATTTTTTATCGATTATAGGCAGTAAATGCTTCGAATTATGTTAACATTATGGAGCTCTGCAAAATGGAATTCTAACTGAACATAGATGCACGATCGTGTTACATTTCCAGTAATGGAAAAAATACCTGCTGTGGCAACTCGATTTCAGCTGGTTCACTCAAATAAACTTTCCCTTTTTCAATTGATTTTGATAATAAAAGTATACATTGTCAAGGAGCATAATAGACTTACCTTCACATGGTACACCCTGCGCAACGTATACTTCTAAGGCAAAAAAGTCTATCAACTGGCAGTTGACTTCTGACGTCAAACTATCATGACCCCACTGTACGTCATATCCGACTACAGTACTCACCTTGACTTTTATTTATCTTCGAGTCTGCCACTTCCACATCTGTGAATCAGTCTTCTGTTCCTCCTCTCGACATTTTTGTGACTTCGATACTTCTCCCTCTGTGAAGTCCATATTCACCTATAGGGCTAATGATAACTATCATAAAGCCCGCCATTTGATATAAATAAATAAATATTGGCGAACTGCAAATGACACCCCGGAAAGGCATATTGCGGCAACTTTTTAGATTTCTGACCGGTTGAAAAATTCCTTGGGAGATTCAAATACACAGCTAAAGTATCCCAGTTGGCATAAAGCGAAATAAAATCAAAAACATGTTCTTTCTTGCATTAGAAATTAGCATCATAGTTGAAAAGGAATGTGACTTTGATGTTCCTCCTCTCTGTGAATCCCGAAGCCAACTAGAGAGCTAAATAAGTGTTTATTCTCAAATCAACTAAAAAATAAAGATTATTTATGGAAGAGATGCCTAAATTCATTGAGGTAAATGGTTAAATTCCAATTTAATCCTGAGACATGGTTTATTGAGTGTCAGTGCTGATATCAAAAGCATATTTTGGACGACCGAAATTGTCTACAAGAAAGTCCCTCCTAATTATCGCCGTATTCTTGGCGCTTCACATTGTAAGAAAATAAATATTGCTTCATCTATTGGCGCTCAACAATGGGTACATGCAAGTATGAAGCTGAAATTACATCAAAATAGGAACTGATTAATTCCGAAATGAAATGACTTAAAGCATTTTTTATTTCGTAAGTAGATGTTAATATAAATTCTAAAAATCAAAATAAAGAGGCTTTCTGAAGGTGTAGTTTAGATTTATTACTACGCTTATACTTATATCAAATGGCTGGCATTACGGTAGTTATCATTAGCCTTCATTTAGGGGAGAACCATCAAAGTCACAAAAATGAGAGAGATGAAATAGAAGAGTGATTCACAGATGTAAAAGAGACAGACAGACAGACACAAAGGTAGAGAAACAGGCAAGGTGAGTTCTGTGGAAGTGGGTCGAATTTGACATAGATTGGGAGTCATGGTATTTTGAAGTGAGAAGTCAACTGCCAGTTAATAGACCTCTTAGCCGTTTGAGTATACGTTGCCCAGTGTGCACCATGTGGAGCTAAGTCAATCGCACACCCCCATATAGTAACTATGACAACACCTGGAAATAGAAGAAAATGGGCACCAATAGGAAGCTATAAACGAATCATCCCTCTGATATCCTATTGGGATGGGTTGGCAATTGGAGCATTTCAAGTTTACCATTAAAATACTACCTCAACGAAATTTTGGCATTCATGCTCATCATATCTTAATTGACGGGAATTTTGTGTGCCATAACTACTCAAAAATGTTTGATCCCGTATCAACCACTTTGAAGAAACTTCAATAGACTCTAATCAATGCTGTATTGCCCATATAGTTCTTATTATTGCATAAATGTGTGTCACCAATGGTTAAATCGCCTTGCCTCTTAAAAAGAAAATTTAATTTTTATTACCTTCGTGTAATAGATATACTTGCTAATGAGACAATGCGATTCCCAGTAAGCTTTAATTTGATTTTTTACACAGGATTACCATTTATCTATATCTAATTAGTATGAACACGTTAATTTTATTTATTTCAAATGGCAGGCGTTTTGATAGTTATCACGAACCCTTTAGCTGGCTTCGGGCTTCACAGAGGGAAGGAACATCATAGTGAGAAAAATTGGAGAGGGGGAACAGAGGAGTGATTCAAAGATGCAAAAGACAGACATTCTCAGAGGCAGAGAATATGACATACAGTGGGGTGATGGTAGTTTGAAGTCGGAAGTCAACTGCCGGTTAATAGACCTTTTGCCTTAGGAGTATACGTTGCCCAGGGTACACCACGTGGAGGTAAGTC